TTAGGCATTGGATATTCACTATGTTTTGAAATCCCTCCAGCTATACACCATTAAAAAATGTAACATAGTGACAGCATAGTTTAAGGTGATAAACTTTTACCAATCTATCTTAAAGTATAAAATACATAATTATAAGCATATTTTCAATTCTTGGATGTGAATGCTGAAGCTGTATTTCTAGAACTGGCGAATTCTGTTCTCTATTTCCATGTATAAAAGATCTCACAGTCCTGGGAAAACACTTTTTTAAAAAATGAAATACAACAAATAAGGTATGCTGCGGAGTCCTAGGGGAGAAGTTTCCCAGACTCTTTGAATTTCCTCCTATCCTCCTTCTTTACAAGATTTCTAAGACCAAGTCCTTTTCTGCAGTCTCTTAAACAAGGTAAAAAAGAAAAATATCCCCTAGATATATTCCTTAGATTTTCTATTATGCTTCTCAAGTTCCCAGTAGCTTGTGAAGTAAACCTAAGATGAATTCTGGACTTATTTTTTATTATGTTTTAATTTTAGTTCCTCTTTAGGTCTAAGATGAAATAGATGATCATAACTGCTGTGCTTGGAGATGCACTTCATGGCACAATATGTACATGACCTGTGCAAGGTCACATTATGGAAAGAGGACTGACATGACAAATAAGAAGCTGAATCCAGCTTTTAATCTTAGAGAACTTCAGGGTAACCCATTTAAGTTTGCTCTATTTAGTGCAATATGGCAATAAAATTTTTTGCATAAACAGTATATTTAGATATATTCTGTCTAGAGACCTCACCATGGCTGGGATTGTGTCAGAGACATAGGGGGGATTACTCCTCAAATCACTGATCATTAAGGATCATTTTTTTGTCATATTGTGAGCCTCAGTGCAGATTGTGGCAAGCCAGCCTAATCATCGTCCACAACAAAGTCCCAAGTTCCAGCCACGCCACAGCTTTTTACACTTCTGTGTTTCTGCATGTGCTGCTCTCTGCCCATTATTTTCACTCTGGCAAAATCCTTTCTATTCCTCATTTAAAGTATCAACTCCCTTGTAAATCCTTCCTTGATAACCCCAGGCAGGGTTAGTTATTTCCTCCTCAGTGGAAATAACTCAAAGTGCATTCCTCCTCAATGCACGTTGTACTTAGCTCTGTTATTTATCAGAACTATTATAATTATTTGTTTATTGTATCTACCACTAGAATATGAAGGCTTATACATTTACTCTTATTTAGCATTTCCCAAGAGCCAAGCATTGTTATAAGCACTTTAGGTATGTCAATTCTTTTTAATCTGCATCACAACCCTTTGAGGTAGGTATTTTCATTACCTCTATTTCACGAGTGAGAAACTTAACTCAGGCACAGAGAAGTTAGGTAATTTTCACAAGGACACACTGCTAATATGTGCCAGTTGTTAAACTCATGCAGTCTAACCTCAGAGTCTGAGCTTCTCTGTTATTCTATGTGTTTGCCCAAGGGACTATGGGAAGCAGTTTATAAACATTAAACAAAGAGAAAGAATGATCATTCTGATTTTTCCATAGTTTCCTAAGCTTAAATTAAGAAATATATTTTCTTTGTCTTAAATCAATTTCACATTCACTCTTAAGTATGGGCTAGTTCATTTATCCAGAGAAAATTCAGCCCAGATTGAGGGAGAGAGAATTAGTTGAAGTAATTGAGGTAGAAGGCCTAGGGTTTTTCTGGCTCTGCCATATCAAAGTCTAAACTCTCAGTGCCTCCCTCAGCTTCTGCATCTGTAGATACCTACAAAAGCCTCTCATCATAGCTGCTTTTAGATGCACTATGCTGTGCACATAATGTTGTTATGGTACCTCAACAAATATGACATGAAAATGCTTTGGAATAGAAATACTATTAACTAGAAAAGCAAGTATGTTATTCCTTGTAAACTGATGTGACTCAAGGCATTTTCACTTTCAGAATGATTCAAATAGAGGGGACTGTTTTGGTGGTTGTTTTGTTTTTTTAAGAAGTGAGGCCCCAAAATCATTAAGAACCAGATGTACTTATTTTTCCTCTTGATATTTAAATTCATATCTTAAGTTCCCTCAGCACAATTTCACCTAGTTTACCTTTTAAGTTACTTTTTAATTCTTATATTTTACATGTATCCTTTGGTTTTTTGTTATAATTCTTGCTCATTTAGAGATCTGGAAAATTCAAAAATATTTAAAAATATGTAATTGCATATTATAGGCCTCTTCCAATTTTTATAATTTTCTTATAAAACATTTTAAATGGATTTATAACCTTTCATTAGAATAAGATATAGCATAATTTAATCACACAGTCCCTGTTTTAAACATTTCAGTTAATACCAATTGTTTGCTGAGTGAGGATCATATAGTCCTGCAGGAAAAGGGCCTATTATACTGCTTCTCTGGGAGCTTGTTGGAATGCTGATTCTAGGGCCCCATCCAGGAGGTTCTAATATGTCTGGGCAAGTAGGTCCTTTTTTTGAGAAATGCTGACATTGTCTCTCCTTTAATAATACTTTCTCCTTTTCACTGGGTTATTATCAGCTTCATTCCATCTCAATACATCCCTCCAAACTGAGCTGATTTAAAAGTGTCCATTTCAAACTGGCCTTAGTGAATAGAGTTACTCATTTTCAACATAGCTTTTTTATTAATTTAAGTGATCGCACTATTTCTGCAGTGCCACTTTGGCACACCGACCTTATGACTACTCACCCCATCCCACTTGCCCATGCCCCAACTACAACCAGGCCAGGAACAGGTTTGTTTATTTTTTAAGAGATAAGATCTTGCTCAGTCACCCACGCTGGAGTACAGCAGTGTGATCATAGCTCATTGTAACCTCAAACTTGTGGGCTCAACCTCTAATTCTTGGGCTCAATTCTCCTACTTCAGCCTACCGAGTAACTAGGACAACATGTGTGTACCACCATGCCTAGGTAATTTTTAAATATTTTTTTTTGTAGAGACAAGGTCTCACTATTTTACCCAGGCTGGTCTCAAACTCCTGGACTCAAGTGATGCTCCTGCCTCGACCTCCTGAAGTTCTGAGATTATAGGCATGAGCCAACTGGCCCAGTCAGGAACAGGTTTTTATATTGCAACTCAATGATGTCATTTCTCTTCTTACTCCAGAATCTTTCATTTAACTAACAATGGGTCACCCAGCTTCCCTCCACACTCATCTCTTCCTAACCACACTGGCCTACTCACAGGATATCACTTTCTCAAAGAAGCCCTCCCTAATGCCCTGAACTAAGTCACTTCTCCTGGTCCAACCATGTTCATCACCACCTAGAGTGCTACCTCTCACTAGTATTGCTTGGGGCCAAGTATGGTGCCAGAAATTAGAGGGGAACAGTTAGCCACAGTGCCTATGGCATGGACCTTGTGGTGAAGTGTGGGGGACAGACAATAATCTATGCCTTAACAGATCTTGATACGCTATGACAGAGAAGAAAAGGGAGTCATAGAAATGCTATATAGAATGCACCCAATACAGGATAGCTTTTAAAATCCATGCACTCAGTATACTCTTGTTACATAAATAAAACACAATGAAGTTTTTAATTGTATTCTTTCTCATCATCCTTCCTACTTCCACCCCACACACAGCCAAAGCATTAGCCCAACCAACTTCTCCCTGCAGCCTGCTCCTCAAAATAGCTCCATGTCTTCCCTGAGAAGTCTGCTGAATATACTCTCCATTCCATATTATTAGTTCCAGCTTTGATCCTTTCATCACATCACTTCCTAAAATATGTGCTCATGTGCCAAGCCACTTCTCTTCCTTCCTTCAAGTATTTCCTGAAATGTGACCTCCTCCATGGAGCCTTCTTTAAGTGAAACTGAGCTCATCATTCTATCTTCTGTTTCCAAAAAATAAGTTAAAGTTTGCTATTTGAAGTTTCAAAGCTGTAAATTACCTAAGCTTTTCACTGGCTGCATGGGTCTCACCATTTCAGGGCTGGTTGGGTTTCCTCTCCCTGCATTTAAGAATGTGAGTCTAAGAGGATAAAGTGTTTGTTTAACTTGCTCTGTATACACTTAACACAATGCCAACCCACATGGATGCTGAATAAATGTGATTTGATGATGATTTACTTACTTTCTCCATGCCAGGAATTGAAACATGAACTCTTAAATCTGTTTCCCCCATGTTACAAAACGTTTCAATGCTGAGTTTATTATGAGACTGATTTTCTGCATTTACTTTCACAAAGGAAAAGACACAAAGGAAAGGAGTAATTACATGAAAATATCAAATTAATAAAATTATTTTCCACATTGTGAATCTAAAGATACCTTTAGAATAGTGGCACTTTGTATTAAAAGGTGCCTCATTTAAAAGTTCAATTGCATATGCTTTATGGGTTATTTTGTAAATCTAAAACGAATAACCAAAACACATCAATACTCATTTTTAAAGTACTTGTTGTATTCGGTGCATGCACCATTATGGAGAACTTACACTCAGAGCAAAAAGATTTGTAGCAAAGCATATGACCTTCTTCCCACTACAATGACCATCCCCTAATTAGGCAATGCATCTGATAGTCATTAACAGGAATGAGATAATGAATCACTTTCTCTCTTCTTTGTTAATTTGCTGTAACCAAGCGGCTAATGGATGTCAGAGCTGAGTGATTGCACTGATTATAGTGATTTATAGTTGCAACAAAACAATTTAAAACCATTCTGATTATTCATGTTAAAGATGCTTTATGTTTTGTTTACTAAATGTTTTATGTCCCCCTTTCCCTCACCCCTAAAGTATTGTCCCCCTCCTACTCTGCCACTTTTCACAAAAAGACCTCTTCCTAGAAAACTTGAAAGTTATATGCTTTTTTTTATTGTTTTAAACTAAGCCATTTCATTTTGTTTATATATAGAGAGAGAGATAAAGTTTACCCAGTAGAAACGAAAAGCCTTAGGGTTGGAAAGAAAACTTCAGTGGTGCTTAGTTCAAAAGAAGACAGAAATAAGAGGAAATAAGGCAAACTTCAAGCCACTTACCTTGGGGCTTGCAGTCCCTTCCTCATCCTCCACAGACACATCAGTAGCCAGTATCTCTGCTTTGATGGTATCCAGAGCCCTGAGAATCCAGCTGTGTTGCCGTTTGATTTGCCTCTGCAGCTCCTTCCATTGACTTGCAATCATCCGCAGCATGTCCTTCAGTCCTTCTCCAAAAGAAGGGGAAAGTACAAGTTGTGGACCTGACTGCATCTTTGCCATTATTATTTTTTGTTTAGTAAATTAGGTGGCTATTTCACACAATATACATATTTCTAAATGACCATTACTATCACCTGCCATATTAGCATTTGTTATTCATAATAGAGACTGGCAAATTCTTGACACAAGGCATAAGGACACAAAAATGTGATAACCACATAGATGACTGCTTTGGAAATTGACTTAGACTCAGTATATTGACTGAAAAAAAATGCATGTGGAACAAAAATCACAATGTATAAAAATTATTAATACACAATAGCTTCACATTCCAAATAAAAGGCTCTGTGTGTATATGTGTAGAGACTTTAAAGTGATCAGAAAGATTTATGGTAATAGGTAAAGTCAATTCAATGAGAAATACAGTAAATGGGTCAGAATTAAGACAGCAGTCTTTAATATTAGCAAATCTAATTAATACTGTTCTTTTCATATTTAGCTATGGTAAGCTCAAAGTAAGAGCCAAACCGTAAGTCATCCTGTCTTGTGGTCTTCTACTATCAGGATAAGTATAACCAAATGACAAAACTATTTTTTATTTACAATCTGTTCCTCATAAATACGTTAATACTGAAGTAAGAATCGGTTGAAGGCCAAAAATTCTGCTAATGCAAAGATCAGCAAGGAACATGCAAAATGTTCATGTGTGTGAATTGGCAGGGAAATAATATCTCTAGACTGCCTGCCTTATATCTGTAATGATATCTATAAGTACCGTAATGCATATGCATTATAACTAGCAGTACAATTCTCATTCATTATCTTAATGTTATTTCCAGAGCACCTACATCAAAAAGCATGTCAATGTGAAGTTTTCAAGAATGTGATTTCAATTGAAACTCAGGCGAACAGCAAGACCTAAATAAAATGAACAGACCATTTGGAGGCAGTATTTCATCTTATAAGTATCACAGCATTGTATGCAGTATATGAAACATTTATAAATCTTGAAGGTCAATCTGATAATGTAAATATTAATAATACATAAGGAAGTGAATATATGCAGTAATTTACAGCATTGCTTCTTCATTCTTAATAGTCTGGAGACATAAAGACTCGCAATATTTCAGGAGGATTTACCTGCTTTGTGAGACGCAATAAGCTCGAGAAGTTGGTGTCCTTCTTCCTCCACAGCTTCTTTGAGAGCACAATGACTGTCTACATTCAACTTAAAACTCTGCAAGGAAAAATATGAGAATCAAACCCTGGCAAGGCAGTTGCACATAAAACATCCATACAAAATTACTTGCTACTTTTTATCAAGAACCACACAGCCCAATTTACCCAATAGACAAACTAATTTGCAATACTAAAAGCTATTGATATTTGGGATCTGGGCTCAAAATGGTTCTATTAGATTAGCTGAATGCATCTGTTTGGAAACAGCTGACAAATCTAGAAATTCATTATGTTTTTGTGAAAAGTCATATCCTGTAGGCTATATCAAGAGTAGCAGTGTTCTATAAAATACACTGAATTTCTACTAGCACATATGAGCTCTTTTCTTCATTTTTTAGAAATGTTAGTGATAGCACTATTTATAAAACCATAAAAAATTGGCAGCATAAAATACATTAGCCTTATGTGCACATATATAATATAAATCCATTGATATAGTAGGGTTTGATTCAGCTCTGTTTCTCAGACATCGTACAAACCATAGAATATACAGGTGGATTTATATGCTGTATTGAGAATGCTTTTCAAATGCTTTTCAAATCTTTGCTTTTTAAAAGTTTATTCCTTAAAATGTAACACTGCTTTATAAATTAATACATTAAGCAAGCACATCAGGGGCATTTTTCATTCATGATAGTGATCCAAAAAACAAAAACTGCTATGATGGTTGAAACACAGAGCCATTTCTTTCCGGAAGCCTTCCCTAATGCCTTATGTGGAGTTAATTACTCCCCTCTCTCTGCTCCTTATAACTGCTTCTATTGTAGAATTTATCATACTTTATGATGCTTTATTTCTATCTATGGCTACCAAATTATAAGTAATTTGAAGAATTGCCAGTTTCACATTTATCTCCAACTCATGTCACACACAAGGTATTCAATAAATGTTTGCAGGAATAGTGGATATCTGTTGAACTTGATCAATAACACTCTCTGAAAGGAAAGGTTTCCATTTAAATATTTTAAGTAACACAGATAGTTTTCCAAAGATTCTTCCACCTCTGGAATGTTGCAAGGCATTCCAACCATAGGAAGACCAATGGAGTGTAATCATAGTAATCCTGTCTGATGAATCAGTGGTCTGTCTTTAGGGTGAAAATTCATTCCATGAGTTGAATAATTGTAACAAGCATGGATTTCAAAATATTTTGTGCTAAATTGTGGCTTCTCCATGACAGGTCTCCAAGATATACATGTTTTGGTCTCACTAAGCATTTATTGAGCAATAGTTAGTATATAGTGCACTGTACTTGGTATTAAGAATATTTAACAGAAGTTTGAAATGATATAGTTCTCAGTGGAATGTAATTTGGATTAAAGATGTTAAATAACCATAAATTGTTAAATCAGGTATTCATTCATTCCCTTAGAAACCATGTACTATGCCCATTCTGTACACTGAGCTGAGTAACAGAGATTTAGGGGGTATAAAGCATGGCCCTGGCATCAAAGGGCCACTAATATATTACTAGGAGAACGAAGTGCAGCCGAGTCATACTGGATGTTCAATAATGAGTCTGGGCTCTCCTTTTCTTACTAGAGAAGTAAAGCTCAGAAGACAGAAACAGAATGGCCAAAAGAACCCAGAAATGAAGGGGATAGGGACATGCAGATCAGACCTTGAAATATAAATATAAAAATTTTTACTAAAAAAAACTGACTCCATTTCTTATGCATCATTTTATCTGACTACATGTATAAGATATAGTAAAGTTTCGGCCAAATATGACAGAAAGTAACAATATTAGGTTTCCTAAAGTGAATTGGTCATTCATCATTTTTTGTACTGTGCTCTTTCAGCTACAGGTATTTGGTTGAATAAAATAAAATATCTCAATGTATGGGAAGCTTGATGCTTCTGATCAATCCAAACAATAAAGTGTCTATGAAAAATTAAGTATTTATTATTTTATAGTCAAAATATGACTGCATTTGCTTTTTGCCACTGCCATGGAAATCCTCAACTCTGAAGCAAAAAATACAGGATGAAGTAGTACATGTGTGTTTCAGGGAGAAAAGACAGGGAAGAGAAACACCTGAGATCAACCTGAGAGCATCAAAATTTAGGAAGAAACCTATTCTAGAAATTTCCTCATAATGTAAATTTAGCCTAGTGCTCTCTTTGATTCACTGTTTACTTACAACAGTCTTGTTTTGAATGGTTGGTAATCATGAGTTTCGGAAGAGGTGCATCAGGCCTATGTCTCAGAGCAAAAGAGAACCTAAGGACCTATAAGTAGGTTGGATAATTTGACATAATTGAAGGCAAGAGTATAGAATAGATGCAGCTGGAACTGGCTCTGCTTCAAGATGACGTAGAAGCATTTGATTAGGAAATTGGAAAAGATGAGGTATTCATTGTTAGAAAAAAGATAATCTGATAAGCTTTATGCTGTAGAAAAGAACCATTTAACGTAACTATTACCAAAATGACACAATATTGCTTGATTTTCAGGTGCACCCATTAACCATTAATCTTATCAACTGAGGAATTTACAATGGGCCTCTGAGAAGGCAGCCGAGTAAGCATATTAACAAAATTGTCAATTAAATTTCTGAATGCTAAAAGATTCTATAAGCTCTCCCCCTTTCTCCTCTACCTCTTCCCTAGGGAAGGAGGCTTAAATAAAAGGGTTTTATTTTCTTTATTTTCTTTCCTTGAACTTATACTTGGATACATTTCCATTCTTGTGCTACTAACACATTTCTTCAGCAATGCCTTGTATGTACAGTACCTCTGCAATATCCATAGTACTCCCTGAAAATGCAGGGCATTCTCTGAACACTGAATTTATGTCAAGAACATTGCCACTGGCAGGTTCCATGTCCTATGTCAATGATTATGTGTAATTCCATAAATACAAGTAGTCTAGGTCCTGGGGGATACCAAATCTTTTTTAGCGTCTTTAAAGCAGCATGTCACTGAACAACTAGAAGAGACTAAATAAGGAAATGGAAAAATACAATGACTAAAACAAAGCAGTAGAGTATCAAAAGATGATACATCAGAAATTGACCAACAGGTATTTCCATTACTACAACCTCTGACATCACCAGTTTGTATAGATCTCTGTGTATTACTTCTTGGAAGGACTGAAATTCGGGTGTGCCCACAGATTATACTGTGGTCATGATCAAACCTTACAAAGCAGATAAAATAGTACAACTAATCCCATTCCATACATATTTCTGAATAGTCTAGCTTGATGGCAGTGTGATGGTCCTGTGGACATAAAAGGAAACCAAGGAAATGTATGCCTTAATGAAAACAAAACAACAACAAGACACAAAGAATGATTACTCATGAGGGAGCATAAGAATAGATAGAGATCTCCTGGTACAGGAAGTAGTGGGAAAGACCAGAAGCACATTCAGAGGCTCAAATCCTAATGGGATACAGTCCTGGGAGCATCATTTCATGAACACAAACGTTCAGTCACCCCATGGATTACTGTTAGTATCTGCTGGGTCCGCTGAGTTCCATGAGTTTGTGAACTATCAGAGAGGCCAGAAAGAGTTACTGAGTGTTCTCTGACCTAATTTTAGTTGTTTTAAGGTATAAGTTCATATAATAAATATTTATTGAGCAGTCTTTGCCAGGCCTGTAGATAACAAAAGTTAACAGTACACGTGTCTGTCTTCAAGGAGCTTTTATTCTATTTGGTAAAAGAGAAAAGAAAACTAGTAGTCTTACATGATCCAGCATAGAATAAATGTGTAATTATAGTTTTGTATATAACAAAGAGGGTGGACTTTAAGCAAACTAAACAGTGATAGGTCTTGCTCAATGAGATTTAAGTTTTTCTAAAAAAAAAATTAAAGTATTAAGCTGACAAGCAAAAACAAGAGTGTGGCTACATTCCATATGAATATAATAAGTTCTGGATAGGTGCTGTGGGGACCCATGCTAGGATCCAGGCTTAGCAGAGCCTGGAGGGAGGCTTGTAGAGAAAAGGATTGATTTGTACACGGGTCTGGAGACACAATTTATTTCTTGTAGCATGACGCAGGCAGCCACAAGCAGCCAGGTGTGGTTGGGATGGGGTACAAACAAGGGAGATGGCAGCTATGGATGAATAGGATTTGACCCCAAGGACCACGAAAGAGTCATGGAAGTAAAAGTCAGTGATATGAGAGAATGATTAGTGCAAATCTGTGATCTAGAAAAATCTTTTTGGCTGCTGCATATAGTGTTGATTTTAAAAGGGCAGACTGGAGACAAGGAGGCCATTTAGGAGGCTGTTGTGGTAATATAGGCCAGATGTTTCTGCATGCTCATATTTTTTTTAATTAAAAAAGGTATGCTTTTCCTTCTAAATGAATGGAAGAAAAAAAATGGAGAAAATCTTCCGTCTTTTTAAGTTTTTCTCAGTGCATGAGAGCAGCATGTGCCAGAATTTAGTTCTTTGGCTGTTCTGATGATAAATACCAGAGGTTATTAGTCAGGAGTCTCCAAATGTGAAAGACATATTGAACTGATGAACTTTTACTCCCACTGTCATTTTAAAGAGATGGTATATATGCTGATGAATAAGACACTTGATGACACTTTTTCTTCACACAAAAGATTTTTACTACTCTAAGAAAATGAAAACTTGCCTTTTTACAAGGGCAAGAGGAAAAATGTGTGTTCAGTCAGAAAAGCCAAGGCTTGAAAAGTCACCTGCTATCTGCCTCAGGCCATCTCTGCCCCAGCTCCACTCTGAGCTGTGCCCAGCACCATTCTCCATTCTCAGAGGGGCTACTGGTAGAGAAGAAAGCCATGTTCGCCTGTGCAGTTTCTCTTCTCCTCTCCACTATGCCATCCATAGAGGATGGTCAGATGTACTGGACCTCAAAATATTAAACATGCCTTCAAAATGCCAATATGTACCAAGAAGATTTCTATGAATAAACATTTGAGAACCTCCTAAAAACTTGATAGGACATTACATAGCCATTAAAATGAAAACTAAACAATCACATGCAAAATACCTAGAACATAGTATAAGCGATA